GGCCTCTCTCATCTTTTTAAGTGGGAGAACTTGCACAATTGGTGGCTGACTAAATACTTTTTTGCCCCACTGTATGTACTCTTTTATAAGGCTTCAATAAGCCTCATTTTCTCAGACTAGTAATCCAACCCAGAACAATAACAATATAATTTGTATTTTATAGTTCAATATTCATATTTCCTGATTTTTAAACAAAAACATGAATTCTTAGCTTCTTATGGATTACTTTCATGGACAGTGGGCCCTCCCACCAGCAAAGCTGACAAAAAATATGTTAAAGTCACTGTGTCCTGTACTGTATTAGAAGTGGATAAGTAACAGTGGCTTATGCATTGGGAAAAAATATTGCTTACCATGACTGATTTACATTTTTAATAACTAAACCCACACACAAATATGTGATTTAAAGTTTTGCTGTATCCTGGTTCTGTGTACCTGCTACTGTGTTACCAAAAAGTATAGGCTCTTCTATGCTGAGGCTACCTAGAAAAGAAAATAGCTTAAGAACTCCATAAACGTTGGCAACAATGCTGGCTAGGTGTTGGACAGTGCTTACTATGATCCCTGACTGCTCGATTCCTGCTTCTTAACCCCATCCATCTATGCTGGGAAAGCAAGTACCAATCAATTTCCTTTCTGTGGGTATTACTTTGAGGACATGTGGTTTCTACTGATTGACCTTTCGTATGAGACTCCTCCACTGAGTCCCCCTTGTCCTTGGCAACTTCCCATTTGGCATGTCCGCTGGCTGACTGGTAAACAAAGCAGAACCTCATAGTTTTACCTTCCAGTCACTTGGCCTAGAAGGGTAAATTGCCAGAACTCTTGTTATTTTCACCCACTTTTAAAAAAATAGAAAGCCACCATTTCACCATCTTGGGGCAGTGGTTCACCAATCCTTGCTGAGCAGCTATTGTGTGCCCTAACCATCGATACACTGGTTGCACGTGTGGTTAGGAGTCAGTGAACCAGTGTTTCTGCTTGTTGAAAATATAGAAATTGCCAAACAATGGAGGCCTGCTTCACAAAAGTTCGTGGGTTCACACAATCACATTCTACTTTTTGGATGGAGATACCCTGAAAATGGCAGCAGAGGACAGAAATTGATGCCCAGAGAGGGAGGGGATGTGATGGCAGTTCCTTACAGCCCCCAACAGGAGTGTAATCATCGCCTGGGTCAGATGAAAACACAGCAGCACAACTGCAGAGTTGGGCTCATGTCAACACAAGTCGGAAACGTCTTCAAAGTGGAGCAGGAAAACCCAGTTCCAGGCTACTGTCTCCTTGAACTCCAACTTCAGCTTAGGCAGTTAGCACCTTAGTGACCCTTCTCTTCCCTTCTGGGCAAGATGAAAGAATGGCTAAAAAATGACCTAAGATAACTGTGTGTGTATGTATGAATCTATTATCCTAGTTCTAGTTTTTAATTTGTTTCTACTTGCCAACAGAGAAATAGCCAGAGATTCCAGGCTCTGTGCCCAGATGGATGTGCGCAGAAAAGGGAGTAAGAGATGGGAGGAAACCAGAAGTTTCTTGACAGCAGATTCCGGAAGTCTCAGCAAGACGAGCGAGGCTCTCTCCCTGCAGACGTTTCAAGCTAGGCGCGGGACCGGGGGTCAGAGCTGCCCTGAGCGCACTTGCACCCCCATAACGTAATCAGGGGCTGTCGGGAATAGCTTTACTAGTACTGTCGCGGTGGTGCTTCCTGCCACTCGGTTTTTTGAGAGCAGGCGCAAGCACCGCTGAGAGCAAGCTCATTCAAAGGTTATTAGCAACCGAAAGGCTGCGGAGGGGAGTCAGGCTCACCGTTTTTAAGGGAGGCAGAGGACAGGGGCACCAGCTGCAGGAACAGCAGCAACAAGGAAAGGATGGACGGGCGAAGTTTCCGAATCATCTTTGATCCAGGGAGCAAATGGCGCCTGGCCCTCTCCTCGGTTTCTTTTACGGTTGTCCGTCTCGTGAGCAACGCGGCTCTCAGGGCACGTTTCAATTGGCGCGGGCGCTCCGCGTTTCGGTACGCAGGAGCGCGCGTCTTTTTCTTTTGTGTCTCTTGTAATTGTCGATTTTTGCTCACTTTGCATCCATTGGATGCGCCCAGATTAGTAATGATGTACATGAAGTTACGAAGAGCAAAGGTGGGTAGGTGTGAAGGTTTGGGTTACAGTGCTCAGTCTTGGAACATGCGGGTAGGGGCTGACGGGAAGTTGAAGTCCAAAACTTCTGGAGGATAGCAAGTTCTCTATCCCAGGATAAGAAGTTCCCTATTCCTGCAACTAAATATTATTTTCTTCCAAGTTCTGCTAGAGAGAACCCCATTTTATTTTACTCCTCGTTGTGGGCAGCTGGCTATCATCACTGGGACCTGCAGCAATGATGGGTACTAAAGGTTATGTTTATTTTAATCTGAGTCTAGCCAGATGAAGACAGATTTCTAAATGTAATTCAGAATTTGTTCTGCAGAAGTAAACATAACTCTTAGGAACTGAGTGTACATGGAATTTAAACAGAATCTGACCCTTTTTCATCCATGTTTAAACAGGGAAAAAAATAAAAGATTCTTGAAACCAAACACAGATTACCTTGATATCATATGATTTTTACACAAAATCATCCTAAACCCATCATCAAATAATAGATAATCAGTCACAGATATGATTACTTTTGGCTCCACCATGGAGCAAAACATGGTTCCTTGGTACAGATTCTATTCATTTCACATAATATTTATTGACCATCCATATGAAATCACAAATCATGTTTGTCTGCAGGCAGTGATTCATCACAAAAAAAAAAAAAAAATCCAAAAGTTGTTGGCTCCATTATGGTGCAAAAACATGGATCCGGCTAAACATTGCTAAAATACAGATCCCAACCTTATGCAAGAACCAACCATTGGAATGATAGGTCTGAGGATTTTTGGCATCATTAAAGTAAGTAAGTAAGTAAGTAAGTAGTTTACTGAATAAATCTCCAGACCATTTTAAGTATACAATGGGTAAGAACAATACATACGTATATTAAAATGAGACATTATTTAAAAAAAATCTAAAATTAACAAATTACTGACATTAAAATTTAAATCTAAAATCTAAACAATAATCATATTACAATATTTTAACATTTATAACATAATACTTTAAGTTATATTGGAGTAAGGACTTGAATACAACTTGTCAGACTCTTAGGAAATATAGGCATTACAGGTAGTCCTCACTTAATGACCATTCATTTAACGATGGTTCAAAGTTCCAATGGCCTTGGAAAGGGTGCTTTGTGGCCCATAAAGCATTTCCAGCCATTGTAAAATGTTGCCCCCACCCCCCGTGGTCACATGGCCACATTTCAGGCGCTTGGCAACTGGCTTGCATTTATGACCGGTTGCCAAATACCCTGCAATCATGTGATTGCCATTGGCAATCTTCTCTGCCAACTAACCCAGAAAGGAAATGGGAAAGACGGCAGGGAAGGTTGCAAGGGGAGGGGATGGAGGGGAGGGGAAACCCTTTGGTGGGCTGCAGGAACGGAGCTCAAATCCTGAAGATATCAGCTCCATTCCTGCAGCCTCACGAAGGATTTCCCCTCCATGCACGGAAGGGAGGAGAAACCCTTCAGTGGGATGCAGGAATGTTTGAGAGTGAAAGCATGCATGGAGAGGAGGGGAAATCCTTCAGCAGGCAGCCCTTTCACTCTGTCCACTTAACAACCCAGGAGATTGCTTAACGACTGCAACCAGGAGTGCCCGGATTGCACTCGTTGAGCAAAGCCGTCATGTGGGTGTCTCACTTAATGACAGCTTTGCTCAACGCTCGAGATTTCCATCCCAACTGTGGTCGTTAAATGAAGACTACCTGTACATAATTTGTCATGCCAAGCAGAATCTACTATTCCTTTCCCTCTTAGCCTTGCTGCCTTAACTGCAAATTTAGCAACTCGCTGTGTCAAAAACTGATTGGTACCTTGTAGGAGGAAATTCAATTTATTTTCAGCACTCCAGTTCTTCATGTCAACAAGGAATAGAAAAAAATAACTATCCCAATATTTAACACCCAACCGGCATTCCAATATATAATGTGACAGATCCTCTATTTCACCTGCCCACACAGAGTCTATCTTGCACGGGGATACCAACGAATCTGCCTTATTGTATCATTGTATCCATTTGATCAAGGCTACAGGTAATCTCTTTTCAGTGGAAAGTACAGATACTTTTTTTCTTGAAATTGGGATTTAACTCTTGCTAGACATTTTGTTGACTTGTAATCAGCAGAGCTGCTATGTCCATCTATCCTCTATCCTCTAATATTCTTTGTATGAGGACATTTCTTATATTGGTGCCAGGTACACTTAAAGCCTCCACACTAAATCTATACTGAAGTGCCAGCTTTGAAAAATTGCACAACTAGGATTTGTCAAGGATTTTAACCATCTACTCACTTAGACAAATCCTAGGAGGCCCATCTTCACTCATTTGGGTTAATTTGACCCAGTAATTAAACAGCCTAAAATGGATTATGTTATTCAGCTGTAATGGTATGTGCTGGGGAAGCTCTTGACACTCCCGAGATGAAACATAGAAAATGGTTCTGGACACTTTCAGTTCTCTTAGTTATAGCAAACCTCCATATTTTGGCACCAAAGGTCAGCACTGGCAACTCCTTGGTTTATAAATTTTTGTTTAATAAGCATCCCTGGCGTGCTTCTTTCACAGTAGAAATTTTGTTTGTCAAGGCATGATTGACACCTCTTCTCCCCATTAAACTTGTGTCTGTGTAAAGGGCCTTTATAAGGTAGAGAAGACTTTGATCAACATTAGCTTTTGATTGTGGGATTAGTTTTCCCACAAAGTTTTCTGTCTATGGAATCAAATGCAGCACTTAAATTAATAAATGTGGCATAAAGACACCCACCCTTGGCTGTATATTTTGTTATTAAGTGGGACAGGATAAAACAATTATCGATAACCAATTGTCCTTGCCTGAAACCAGCCTGCTCCTCTGCAAAGATGGAATTTTGCTCTTTTCAATCCTCCAGTTTCTGGAGGAAAAACTTTGCATAATTTTTTGCTGAGACATCAATTAAACAAATTGGCCTATAATTTCAAGATCTGCTTGATTACCTTTCTTAAACAATGGAACTATTATACTAAGCTTTCATCCCTTGGGAATACACCTTATTTATGTGTGTAAACAAACCAGCCAATATGGTAGTCTACCAGTCCATATTATCTTTAAAAAGCTCAGGTGGCATAAAATATTTTATTAATTTTTAGTATTAAGGATTTTGTTTCTCATAAAGTAACTGGTGGCCATTTGGATAGATCAGCAATACAAAGTTTTTTTCTGACAAGAAGAACTGTCATATTGGGTTCTGGCCCTGAACAACTCACCATAAAAACCTTCCCAAACAGCAGCTGATATAGGTACTTCAAGATTATTTCTTGAATCCTTAGGCTGCAACTAACTGCCAAAAGTATGTTGGATTTTTATTTTTACACTCCTGCTCCAGTTTTGCCCAGCTTTCTGCATTATAGATAGCTTTTTTTTATTAGAACTAATTTGTATATTCTCATCTAAGATCAAGCATTAGTTTAAAGGCTTTATCATTAAAGAATTATGTGCTTTTCTCATTTGTTTTCTCACATGGCTTCTCAAATCTCTGCATTCAGTATCAAATCATGTAGATTTTGAATTCCTTATACATTTAAATCTGATTTGCGTAACTAATAAAGGTCTACTTTGAGAACAAATAGACTGGTAGGCACATACTACACTATCAATATTTGATTCTCTAGAACCAAATTGCCCAGGGTTCTTCTTATCTTTAAGGTCAACAAAGATTTAAAATTTAACCTGTCCGCTTACTGCCATCTTAGTCTTTTCTCATATACCAGATCCAGATTCTGTAACACCTGTCTGTCAGCCAAAGACGCTGGTCTTAGGTCAGAGTCAAGGAATAGTTCTGTGAATATTGGTTGGTGGCCACTCTGCACTCTAATATTGTTGGAAAATATGGGGTTTCAACCAAACCTGTCTCACACGAGCACAAAGGGAGGGGCTGCTCCGCTGCGGTCTAGCTTTGCTGCCTTGCGTGGGAGGGGCTTGGAGCCTGCCTTTTTTCCTGTTTCCCTCATTTTCCTTCTCTTTTCCTCACGGATCTCCACGAGGTAGGAATGAATTCTGTCTCCTCCTCGTGGTTTTTGAACTAACATTTCACAACCCCAACAAATATGGACTGAGATGACAGAAAACAGATGCAAATTTTGCTTAGACACGCATATATAATCAACTGTGCTTCCTGCATTTAGAGAAAAATACATATAAGGATATAATAAGTTAGGGTCACTGAGACCGAAGTCTGCAGCCCAAATATATACGATAGTGTCAGTAAATTACACCCCACACCATTTGCTTTTTTATCACTGGGAACCACTAATATATTTTTTGAAATTCCCATTGCTCCACTAATTGTGAGGGCCATGGTCCTATTCTGGCATTAAAGTCCCCCAACACAATGATTATCATATCTGGATATACCGTATTTATTTCCTTCCGCAATTTTCCCAGGAAGACCAGATATCTACTGAATGGTATAGGGAGTTTACTGGAGGTATGTGTATATTCATCAGGATTACAAATACAATTGGGGTTTTTAATTTGACACAATACAGTTTTGGGGCATGTGAGTATTTGACAACAGCTCACTTGACCATCTTAAGTCTTCTTTAACAAATATTGGCATACCACCTATTACTCTACCCTTAACTTTGATTTTCAAGGCAGGTTCAACCTCTTCAAGGTTTCTTAAAGAGCAATCACACAAAAATTAGAGAAAAAAACCAGTCAATTCCTTACTACAAGTACAAGCCGTCCAACCTGCTGTATACCAAGAGACAATTATAACTGGCACAATTATGGTTTGGGAATTCTGACTATTAAGAGGCAATTGGGTATTCTTGCTATACATTACTTGACGGAAGGGAGAAAAGTTAACCCCTGATCCTGTGACTGGTAGCAATGTAACTGTCAGGCCTAGCCCAAGGAACTCCAAGAGACAATGCAAATCCAATTCAGCTTTGTTTATTAGCTACAACCTCTAGCAAGAACCTTCCCAGACTGAAACTCTAGCTTCCAAGTCATCCAGCCACAACAGTGTGAATTCCTCAGGGAGGTGCCAGTCTCATCCTCTTGTATCTCCCACGCTCTGGCAAGCTAAGAAAATGTTTATATCTCTGAGCCTGGCCTTCATAATTCCATTCCATCACAGTAACCCACAGTGTCATCCAGAATTAGACACTTGGATTGGACACATGGTTGCTCAACTCCAGAATCAAAGGACGCAAGTTCATCTCTGGACTCAAAATGCTAACATTGGACCTCACTGGGTAAACAGTGTCTTCTTGGTAAAATTTTAACTGTTTTTTTCTTATAGTAGATCATTTCTCAAATCTTCCTCATCCAGATACCTCATTTCAAGCCAGTTTGCAACAGCTATCAAATCCCCTTTTTTGTTCTTTTTTGTACTTTTGTACTTTGACTCATACTGCTCTCACTGAACTGTGGATTTATAACCTCCCCCATCACTAATTAGGGTCCCATACCTAGATTTATCTTTCTGATAGAATTTCTCCAGTCCTTCAATTATTTCTTCTGTGAATTGTTTACATTCCCTCAGTTTCTCAGTTGCATCTACTTGAAAATCCCTGAGAGGCATCTATTCTTGGATTAAACAGTTCCTCAACTGATCTAACTTTTCCAGTATCTCAGGACCAGAATGTGTTCCATAAAGCTTTCTCTTCCAGGGTGAAAGATTTCATCCTTTCAACAGGCATTTGTTGGAAATCCTGAGTAAGAAATGAAACTTCCCAATTGGATTCCTTAAGAATTAGCTATATATTAGGTGTGTTGGGATTTGGGGACCAATCTAAATCAATAAGATTTGGGGGATATCTCTCTTCCTTGTAATTTTCCTTAGAGGCTACAACTGAGACCTCCAAAGGAAACTGATTAAAAAAAAATCTAACAACAGTTCAGCCATGCTCTAAGAATGTTCCCTTAACTTTTAAAATATATCTAGCAATGTCCCAATCACTAAACATTATCACAACCTGAACTCCATCAAAATATAAATATTCTACAAAAACAATATCCTCATAGGTTAAAACACCACATATCAGATAATTTAAAATAAGAGATTAATTATGCATTCAGACTGAGCTAAAAAACCTCTAGGTTTAGGAAAATTAGCTATGGCAAGTTTATATGGAATCACTACTAAATTCCAACCAGTTCTTTGATAACTCTCTGGCTGTGACTGTTTCTGATGGACTATATGATCCAATCTAATCATGCTGGCATCTACTTCTCTCCTTGCCTGAGTAGTATCCAAAACGTTTTCCCACAGATCCTATATCATTTCACCATTGGCAGCCCAGTGATAGAAGATTTTATATAATTACATACACATACAGTATATTTCATAATTAGTATTGAGGCATTTAGGCTTTCATTAAGGATTTCTGCATCCTGTTCCCTTCTTCAAATTTGTAAGCTTAGAGGCCTTTTTCACTAACCTTGATAGATAAGAAGCTGCACCCATAGAGACAAGTTAAGGTGTGCATTCCAAGGATAGTTTTTCCTAGGGAAAAGGTGTTTAGTTAATGGTCAAGGGGCCTGGAAAGGAAGGAAGAAAGTTCCTAATATGGTATGATACTGAGGTGGGAAATGGGTGGAGTAAGGGGTGGTATTCTAAAGGAGGAGCTGAATGAAATGTATATATTGTGCCAAAAGGAGGGGGTCAAGTGTGGCTGCCCACCTAACAGCTTGCTGTCATCACTTTTGCTCTTGGGTGAAGAATAAAGAACTTCATTTCAGGCAACTGCCTGTTGTCTCTTTGATCCCAGCTCAGAAACGAACTGGTAGGAAATAATTCTAACATCAGTCTGTTTTATTCCCCTGGTGGGAGTTCTTCATTTATTTGCTACAGGTTCACACCTTTGTTTAATTTTGTTTTCTAATTTTTCTTAAAAATTTTAGATTTTAACTTATTAGTCTCAACAACTGGTCTTTTATCCAATATGCTGAACAGGCTCTTTGAAACCCTTTTCTGACAGTGCTGGGCTTTTTTACTCCTCTTCCTTATATTTTTGCTTTTCTTCTGTCTTTTGCATGTGATTTTGAATCTGCTTCATTAGCATCTTTAGCCAGGCTTACTGGTGAAATCTGAGTTGTCCCTTTTACACAAGATATATATTATCAACTGATCCTTTTCTTCCAGGGTCTCTCTCATGAGTAATAAAATTCTCTATCAATGTTATTAATAGTTCATTACTTTCTGAAAGAAAAATTTTAATGAGAGATAATTCATTACATATTATTATTAGTGACATTTCTAATGGGGAGTTTTTGACTTTAGTATCATATGACTGGGTTTGCGAAGAATTAGATTTGTATGTTAAACAACAAGTGTTAAACAACAAGTCTCAAATGTTGTTTGAGACAAGTTCACAAAGTTGGGACTGCACAGGATCCCCCAACAACATAGAGTTAATTATATTATTTATCAACTCTACCTCATCCTTCTGCCACTGCTCCTGGTACAATCTCTTTGTAGAGGACATGGCTTCAGCCAGGGGCTACCACAGAGGCCAAGTCAATTGTGTCCCCTAGAGACTTGGGCTCTTCCAAGGTCCCTTGAAGGTCCACTGACCAATCCAGCACAGACTGTGTCAAAGGTAAAGCATCCTGAGCTGGCTTGAATGACCCAATTTTAGTAATGCTCTCCTTCTTTTCACTTGATCTCAGATACTAAGTAATTTTAATTTGTATTTTCCATGTTGTTCAAAAACTATCCTCTGAATTAGGAATAATCCCAAATTCTTTATAAATTTTTCTAGCAAACACCATAATCTCAGCCACTGCTTTTCTTCCTATCTTCTCAGCTGCCTTACTTACAACTACTTTTAATGCAATTTAACTTTAAAAGAGGATGAACATTTACACTTACTAAGTGAGCATGCTGCTAAAACAAAGCAGCTAAAACTCTGGTCTCAGCAGAGTAGATTCACAAAAAGAGATGAGATCTGTAAAATCCATTTGGAAAGAAAAAGGGGTAGAAACAGTACAAGAAGTCTCTTCAAAGTCTCAGTGGCAGTGGTAAACTCAAAACTGTTGTAGTCCCAGATCCATATAATGGGATAAGTAAAAGATAGTAAGGAAAAGACTGAAATGTCTACTATCCCATGGTCATGTTCCTTCTTATGAAGATGTGGGTGTGTGTATGTAACAATTTCCTTGATTAGTCTCCTCCTCCTCCTCCTCCTCCTCCTCCTCCTCCAGTTTTAAGTGTTTAAACAAAATGATTTATTTCATTATAGTATAAAAAACATAGTTTTGGATCAATTTGCATCAATAAGCCATAGCTCACATATTTCTCAATATGCTAAGAGAGAAAAATCTCTCTTACAGATCTAATAATTTTTGGTATTAACTTTTTAAAAATCAAAATAACTTTTTTAAAAACTTCACTTGATATTATATCAGTATCCACCAGAAATCATGGATTTCGGTTACTCCTAAGCACCTAGCCATAATGGTCATAAATTTGGCAACTTTTGGCATTTTCCATGTCAAAAGACAAGCAGCTGAGGCACAGATCTTTGAAGAACTTTTTGATTTCTATAAGATACTAATCTGAAAGTCCCATAAGATCAGAGATAATAATTGATCTGATGAACAAATTCTTATGGATCATATGAGGTTTTATAAAGTATTCCTGTCAAAATGACCTTAAAAAAACTCATAACTTGGAAGATCACTAATTCAGTGTTTTACTGTGCTGTCATAACACAGGCATTGATCCTCACAGATCCACATGACTTTTATGCAGAATCCACCTGAACATCTACGTCCATGATTACAGATGAAAGAGTAAAAATAATGGGAGTCTTGCTCACCAGCCCAGCAACACACATTTTTCTATGCTCCTGCCCTTTTAATTTTATACTATTTTTAAATAGTGTGTTTCAGCTATTTTTTCTTTTAGATAACTCTAGTTAAAATAAGTATATTAGGTTATTGTAGATTTTAGATTAGATTCTTATTATTAGATTATTATAAATATATTCACAATTTTTTATGATGAGATGATTGTGGAGAAAAAGTGTCCGAGTCGTTTTGACCAATATGGGAAAAAGAAAGAAGCGACATGGAATTAGTCCGGGCTCTCTCTCCTCTTCAAAATCTGCTAAACAACCGATGATAGAAGAACTTCTTAAACAAAATGAAACTGTAAGTAAAGCAAATTTTCCTTCCACTTCCAATAAATTTTCAGCCCTTGAATAATTTGAATGGGACTTACAAACAGAACTGGAAAAACAACGGCTGTTAGAATTCTCATTATCTGTTAGGGAAGAGCTAATGAAAATTTGGACTCCCTTTCGGTCTCTCACTGTATGTCTCCAGTACAATTTGCTAGTTCACCTCATAACTTCAAGGGAAACAAAAATAAGTTTAAAAATAAGATACAAAATCAGAATTTGGAGAGGCTCCCAGGGAAAATACAACGGAGTGGATGGCACAGCAATGTCTTCTTACAGCCCAAACAGTTATTTCACTATTTGAGCAAGTGTCAGCTATAAAATATTATCTAGATCTGCTGAAAAAAGACTTTGAGGCTTTTGCTTATAAGTATGCAGCCGGACCTGCC